AGGTACTAACACTAACACCATCCAGGTACAAACACTAACACCATCCAGGTACAAACACTAACACCATCCAGGTACAAACACTAACACCATCCAGGCATCCAGTCCAATGATCTGACTCTCTTCTCCAGAACCCCTGAATAGACCTTACCAGGGAGGCTAAGGAGAGTGATGCCCTTGTAATTGGAGCACACCCTCCGGTCCCCCTTTTTGAAGAGGGGAACCACCACCCCAGTCTGTCAATCCAGTGGCACTGCCCCCCAATGTCCACTCGACGTTTCAAAGACGTGTCAATCAAGACAGCCCCACCACATCCAGAGCCTTAAGGAAATCATCCACTACCGGAGCCCTACTGCCTCGGAGCTTTTTAACTACCTCGGCGACCTCAGCCATAGTTCTGGGCATACCATCCCCAAAGACCCCGACTCTGTTTCCTCCATGGAAGACATGCTGGTGGGATTGAGAAGGTCAGAGAAGTATTCCTTCCACCCCTGATGACATCACTGGTTGAGGTCAACAGCACCCCACCTTCACTGAACACAGTGTTAGTAAAGTGCTGCTTTCCTCTCCTCAGCCATCTGATGGTTTGCCAGAATCTTCTTGGAGCTGACCGAGAGTCTCTATCCAAGGTTTCACTGAACTCCTCCCACAGCCGAGCTTTTGCCTCAGCAACAGCCAAGGGTGCAGACTGTTTGGCCCTCCGGTACTCCTCAGCTGCCTCCGGAGTCCCACCGGCCATCAAGGACTGATAGAACTCCTTCTTCAGCTCGACAGCGTCCCTTATCCGGGGTGTCCAACACCGAGTTTGTGGAAGGCCATCGTGAGAAGCACCAACAACCTTGCAGCCTCAGCTCAAGACGGCTACCTCAACAACTGAGGTGCAGAACTTGGCCCACTCTGACTCAATATCCCCCACCGCAGCTGGGATGTGGTTAAAGCTTTCTCTGAGGTGTGAGTTGAAGATCTCTGACGGCTTCTTCTGCCAGGCATTCCCAGCAAACCCTCACTACATGTTTGGGTCCACCAGGTCTGTCCGGCATCTTCCCCACCATCTGATCCAACTCATTACCAGGTGGTGATCAGCTGACAGTTCAGCTCCTCTCTTCACCCGAGTGTCCAAAACAAACGACTGCAATCAGATGACACGACTATGAAGTCAATCATCGATCTATGACCTAGGGCGTCTTGGTGCCACGTGCACTTATGGACACCCTTATGTTTGAACATGGTGTTCGTGATGGACAAACTATGATGAGCACAGAAGTCCAACACCAGAACACCGCTTGGGTTCAGAGCAGAGGCCGTTCCTCCCAGTCACGCCCCTCCAGGTCACACTGTCATTACCCACGTGGGCATTGAAGTCCCCCAGTAGAATAAAGGAGTCCCCAGCTGGTGCACCTTCCAGCACCCCCGCCAAGGACTTCAAGAAGGTTGGATACTCTGAACTGCCATCTGGCACGTAGGCACAAACAACAGTCAGAGCCCGTTCACTGACCTGAAGGCGCAGGGAAGCCCCTTTCATCTACGGGGGAAAACTCCAACACATAGGCACCAAGTCGGGGGGCTACAAGTAGACCCACACCAGCTCAACGCCTCTCACCATGGGCAACTCCAGAGTGGAATAAGGTCCAGCCCCTCTCAAGAAGATTGGTTCCAGAGTCCATGCTGTGCGTCGAGCTGAGTCCAACTAGATCTAGTCAGTACCTCTCAACTTCATGCACAAGCTCAGGCTCCTTCCCCTCCAGAGAGATCATGTTCCATGTCCCAAAAGCAGCTTTGGTAAACCAGGGTCAGAGCACCAAGGTCCATGCCTTTGACCACTGAACATGGAGTCATGCACCCGACTTTTGTGGCCCCTCCTGCAGGTGGTGGGGCCACTTCTCTCATTTTTATGTGTTTTACTTCCGAGGAGCCAGACTTTCAAAAACGTTTCTATTTAGTATAACCCATAGTTTTCCAGGCTTCTGAAGATTTTTCATTGTTTTGTTCAGACTTAAGATGCTTTCACACTCCAGTGTTTTTAGATGAAAACTTGTCATTCCCTGATACACAGGTGAGACATTTAATATTCCCTAAAAATCCCTCTCCAGCTCATGAACTGTATCTGAAAGCCATGTCTTTAAGAAACAGGACCAAATCCATCAAAGACCTGAGAGCTGCTCCATCCTTTGGTAGATCATCAGTTTTTTAGCTCTTTAAAAATCACCTTGTTTGTGGTCTGTCAGCTTGTGTTATCTTTGGTATTTTTCATCAATTCATCAAACGAGATGAGAATAAATTGTGTTTTTGTGACAAGATTATATTAAAATCTGTCTCTTTAGTAGCAAAACAAACCATTTTGTGCAATAATTTACCGTTTTACCCAAAACATTACCTGAAGAACTGAAACTCATCAACCATCTAACCTGCCTCAGGTCTTTATGTTTTTAACACTTTTATTCTTTATATTTGTTTGTCTGTTGATTTTCTTGCCTCTTGACCTAATGTATAAAACATATTGACAGTGGGGGGGTTCCACACCAGCCGGTACCAGTCACTTCCTCTGACCCCACCGCCATCACCGCTATCGCACAAAAACACGCAGTCAAAGGGGTCACACGGCGGTTACCCTGTCCCCCGCTAAAGTGCTTGTTGTCAGCCCTCGTCTGCACTAATGAAGAACATTTCAAGTGACTGTTGGAGGGCAGAGAGGGAAAGGAGGGGGGGGGGGGGGGGGGACTACATTGGGAGAGGGGGTGAAAAGGGGAGTTAAACAAAAAGTATCAGCAATAAACATTTTACAGTGAGATGAGTGATAATAAGATGCTCAAAGGCAAACTGAGAGAATAAAGAAGGAGGCTGATGATTAGGAGCAATAAAATGAGGACGGGGAGGTGGAAAAGAGATTATTAAAGTTCTGAAAGGCAGAAACAAGCAGAGAACTAATGTGAAGCAAAATAAAAGACGCTGCTGTCCACTTCTCAGTCCTCGTTGGTTTTATTGATGAACTCCGTTCCTTCAGAGACATCAGGGGAACTCCGCTCATCCCCTTCCCCGGGTCAGAGCACCTCTCCTGGGCCGAGACGCTCCACTGTCTGATCCACAAGTAATCAGCTGAGGTTGCCCAGAGCCATGCAGGAAACAGCGTCTGTGTGCAGAAACCAGAACTAATAGAAAATGTTTTGTAATGCACCTGGAACAAATCACATTTTATTGAGTGAAATAGAAACGTGTTGGCTTGCAATAAGCAAACCGTGCAGAACTTCATGAAACAATCAACTCATTGTAAACCGGGCCGCGTTTTGTTGGTAGAATAAAGTTAGACGTTAGAAGAAATTCGAATTTGTTCATTCCTAAATAGTCGGGAAATGTAAATGTGAGGTTTTCCACTCTAAACATTATGGGATACCTCTGGGGAGACCTCAGAAGATCAGTGCAGTAAAGACACGTCAATGGTCTGACGAGATCTGCAAGACTTAGGAAGAATCGATGGAAATCCTGTGAACAGAACCAATTCATTATGAGCCGAAAGAGCAGAGCGTTTAGTGTGTTGGAAGGAAGACTGACTGACGGTCAGACCTGACGGTCAGACCTCGGACTCAGGAAGGAGTCGTGGCAGTTTTATTGTCTGGTCCATGTGGGTTTTGTTGATTTGAAGGAGGTTTACAACTCCAAGTATCCCTTTGAGGGTATTTTGTTCAAGAAGATTTTGTTAGTATAAATTAATCCACTCCACCTAATTATTCAGTCAGGTTTAGTGATTAATACTAAACCAATTAGTAGTTATAATACTTTTGAGTCATTGTCTCGAAGTCTATCCCATCCTAAATGGAAATCAGAAAAGCTACTTTTACTAGTTGTTATATATCGTCCACCAGGCGCTTACTCTCAGTTTTTTGTCTGAATTCTCAGAATTATTAACTGACTTATTATTAAATACTGATAAAATCATCATAATGGGTGATTTCAATGTTCATGTGGATGTTGAAAGTGATAGTTTAAACATAGCCTTTAATAATTTAATAGACTCATTTGGTTTTACCCAAAACGTCCGCACATCTACTCATTCTTATCATCACACTCTTGATTTAGTTCTGACCTATGGTGTAGAGATTAAGGACTTGGTAATAGTTCCTCAAAATCCTGTTCTGTCCGACCATTTTTTAATAACTTTGAGTTTACATTAAATGACTACACAGTCACTGAGAGTAAATTTCATCTCAGCAGGTGCTTATCAGAAAATGCTGTAACCAAATTGAAACAATCTCTTCCATCAATGTTTTCCTCTGTCTTGCAGAGTAATGCATCAGAGAACAGAGACTTAGATCATCTAGTTGATCATCTTACAACTTCAATGCAAACTTCACTTGATAAAATTGCTCCACTGAAAAAGAAAGTAATCAATCAGAGGAAACTGGCTCCTTGGTTCAATTCTGAGTTACGTACTTTAAAGCAGCATCTAGAAACCAGGAGAGAAAATGGCGCTCTACTAATGTTGAAGAATTTTATTTAACTTGGAAAGATAGTCTGCTAACATATAAAAAAGCTCTCCGTAAAGCTAGAACTTTATATTATTCATCTTTAATAGAGGAGAATTAAAATAACCCCTGGTTTATTTTCAGTACCATAGCTAGTCTGATGAAAAATCTTATCGCTGCTGATTCATGTATCTCTACAACTATAAGTAGTGATGACTTCATGAGATTCTTTATAAATAAAATTGTTTCAATTAGACAATTAGAGAGAAAATTCAAACCAACATTCCTACTATCGCCTCTGGTTCTGTGTCAGATGAGACAACTTTAAAAATGTCACTAGAACCTGATTTATGTTTGGACAGTTTTTGTCCTGTTGAGCTCTGAATGGTCAAAAATAATAACCTCGTCCAAACCATCCACATGCCTGCTAGATCCAATTCCAACCAGACTGTTTAAAGAGGTATTTCCATTAATTAATAACCACGTCTTGGATCTAATTAATTTGTTTCTAATAAATGGTTATGTACCACAGAGCTTTAAGGTTGCTGTAATTAAACCTTTACTTAAGAAACATAACCTTGACTCATGAATCCTAGCCTATTATAGATCTGTATCTAATCTAACTTTCATCTAAAAAATTCTAGAGAAAATAGTTGCAGATCAGTTACATGATCATCTACAAATAAATAATCTGAAGAGTTTCAGTCAGGGTTTAGAGCTTATCATAGAACTGAATCTGCACTGGTAAAAGTCACTAATGATATTCTCATGGCCTCAGACAATGGACTTGTGTCTCTACTGGTCCTGTTAGACCTCAGTGCTGCATTTGATGCAGTTGATCACAATATTTTACTACAGAGACTTGAATATGATGTTGGGATTACAGGAACGGCTCTAAAGTGAATAACCAACATAAGACCGCTGTCCAGATTCATGACACAAAGTTGGGTTTGCTCCCGGTGCGGGTTGGACTCCACCAGAACTGAACTCCTCCAATCCTATTTGCAGGATCCGGTTTGGGAAACCCCGGTCTTTTTGCAGATGATGTGGTTCTGTTGGTGTCTTCAGGCCATAAACCTTAAAGGATGAGGGTCAGCTCCTCTGAGTCTGAGTCTGGTCCTTGTATGGTCGGGGTGCATCTTTGCCTCAAGTTGAGTTTAAGTATCTGAGTGATGGTAGGACGGAGCAACAGGTCAGTCCTTGTCTGCAGTAATGAGGCTGTTGGTCCGGTGTGTCATAGAACAGTCAGAGTTTTGTTTTTGGGGTCAGGTACTGACCTGGCCTGGATTACAGTAACAGAAACCGTTAAATCATGTCATCTGAACCAGTTTCTTTAAGTGAGAAACGTTTCAGCCCCATCCAGAGGACTTCCTCAGTCTACGGTCTGCCAGCAGATCTGTCTCATAGTTTGCCTCACTGCTGGGGACGAAACGTTTCTCACTTAAAGAAACGGGTCCAGATGTCACGATTTAACCTTCTTGTTGTCGTCTACCTGGATGATGGAGCCTACAACACTTTTTCAGAGACAGTTCAGCTGCTGGATCCAGTCAGGTAGTTTCAGCAGCTGAGCCTCTGGCTCGCAGAGTTTGTGTGTCTGCACATCGTTGTCGTGTTTAAGAAACACTCGCTTCTGTCTTTAGAAAGGAAAGAAAGCTGGACTTTAAAGGTCCGTGTTTTTGTGTTGATGGTTCTTGGTTCAACCAGAGTCGTCTTTGTGGCTCGTCCTTTTTGTTTCATGGTTTCTCCAGTCTAAAGATTATTATTTTGGATTATTTTTCTTTTCTGTGTTGAATTTTGAGTTGTCAACAAAATGTTTTTTGTTTGCACTTCATCTGCTCCCGACACTTGGGTCTGAGTTTGGATCCTTTGTCACGTCTTCTTCTGAGAGGGTCCTCTGACCCTCATTAATAGTTCTGAGTCTGTCCGAACATGCCTGTGTTGGACTGGTCCAGGACAAACCCAGGTCTTGGTCTGAGTCTGAAGGTGCTGACGTCTGGTGGACAAGTCAGGGTGGTTTCAAGGCAGGTTCCACCCGGAGGACACCTGGGGACTGATGTCTACTGTTTCTGGTCTGGGAGCACCTTGGGGTCCCTCAGGATGTTCTGGAGGATGTGGCTGAGGAGGTGGAGGTGTGGACCAGTTACCTCCCAAAACCAAATAAAGTCTGGTTTCTTCATGAGGCCGGGTCAGAACTGGTTTGAGCTCAACACCTGTGCATGGCGGCTGCTCTCGTCTGAGATCAACAGAAGCACCGGAGGATCTGAACGTCTCAGTGTTTGATATTAAAATGAAGAAAACAAACTCCTTCCCTGGATCTGCCTGTCAGAGTAATAAAAGTTATCCCCAGAATAATAACCTGGCACACGAGGGACTTTAGTCTCACACTGAATAAATGTCGGTTCTTCTGTCGCCTGATGAACTGTACCGCCTTTGGTTTCTCTCCTCAGTCGAGCGATCTCTCCGAGCGCTGGTTTGTTCTGACTCTGTTTGATTCATGTTGGTGATGTTGAATTAAGAAGGTTTCATTATTGTTTCAGCCTCTCAGTAAGTATCCTGCGCTCCACAACGACATCGCCTTCTGGTTACCAGACGCCAAAGACAGCGAGTCGGAGCCAGAGAGCTTCACCGTGAACGATTTCTACGAGTTGGTGCGAACGGTGGGAGGAGACCTGGTGGAGAAGGTCACGCTCGTGGACGAGTTCACGCATCCCAAGTAAGAAACCCGCGACAACACTCTTGGCCCGATGTTTTTATTTAACTGAACCCAAGTGGACCGATTCAAAGGGTTCACTGAGTCCGTTTGGGGTTCGGTACACGAATGACTTGATATTAGAGCTGCACCTGTACAGGTGATGAACAGGGAGGTCAGGAGGAAGATCTGATCAAACATGGCTGACGAGGGTCTGAACCACAAACACGTTTCTTTTTGAACTGAAGCACCGGGTTGTCAGAGTCCAGAATGAGTTCAGGGTCCAACATGGACTTCAAGGCCCAGACCGGTCCCCAAACGCTTGGTTAGGACCACCTGGGCAGTTTAATGTGGTCCAACGCTGCCACGACCCAACAAGCTTCTGCAGTTTCACCACCTGAGATGGAATCAGCTGCTTTGGTTTTATCATTCGCTGCTTTAAAACACAGTTTTTATATTTTTATTTATACAACTGTTACACGTCAGAGTGCAGAGCAGCTTACTTAGATATAACTGCCCATAACTGGTTAACTGGTCACCATTAACTTCACACAGACTCTCCCACCATTTTCATCTTTAAATCACTTCTCGGTCTGCTGCCTTCATACATCTCCTCCTACATGTCTCTGTGTGAGTGCAGCTACAGCGTGCGCTCTCAGGACATCATTACCTGCAGTGTTCCCTCAGTGTGGACTGAACTAGACAAAAGGACCTTCTCCTGCTCCGCTCCTGTTTCCTGGAATATCTTGTAAAAAGATCTGAAGCTCTCGACCTTTGACCTCTCTAAGTGGCTTCAAACATCTGTTCAGTTCCTGTTTTTAGTTTTCTATACCGTCTTATAATCTGTTTTTATTTCATTTTATATCACTTCCTTTATTTACTTTTTTTTTTTTATTCTTTTTTATGATTGTTTCATTGTTGTCTGTACCTCGTCAGTGGTTTTCATTTGAAACAGGTTTCTCTTGAAAAAGAGTCCTCGTGACTCAATGAGACGAACCTGCAGAAATAAAGGTTGACTTGAATAACATTATTATTATTGTTATTATTATTATTATTATTATTATTATTGAATAACACGATTACTGCTCAGATTTATTTTGCCATCTAGTGGTGAAGCTGCAGATTACATCAAAATGGATTATTTTGCTGTTAAGGTGAAAGTTCCATGTTTGAGTGCTTATAAACCCTAAATAATAATAATAATTAATAACAATATACACAGAATATAATACAGAATAATAAACCGGACACAAGAATGGAACAGGAAGTTGAAGCTGAAACCGTGACCCAAGCAGCAGTTTTTACGTTTGAAGCCCAGAACTAAATAATGGAGATAAACCTCGTAGTGTTGAGTTGTGTTGGGTCGTGCAGTTCCTTCAGATGTTTTTCTAACCTTCAGCTCTAATTGGGTGTTTGATGCGTCATGCGGGTCATGTGACTCCATGGCTGGCTCCTCTCCTGGTCGTTGGTTTGTACTTTGACCCTTCTGGGCTGCCGTACGAACATGCCAGAGGAGAGCTGGTGGTACCGCGTTCAGTCTCTGGGTAAAAGTTCTGGTTCTGTTATACAGTGGACTCATTTATATTTATACATAAATTATAAATGCTGTGGTGTTGGACCACTCTACTTTCCATCACTGAGGGTTCTGCTCAGCTCTCCGAGTTCTGTTGTAGACCAGCTGCTGGTGTTGGGATCATGGTTCTGTTGGACCCAGTTTGGTCTGTTGGACCCCAGAACCCTTTAGTCTACAGAGGAGTTCTAGTCCATTCAGAGACTGACAGGAGCCCAAACCATCAGCCCTCCACCACCGTGCTGACAGCTGGAGGAGCTGTTGGCTGCAGTGCATTCTGGGTAAACATCTGTCCTCTGGTCTGGTTCTGGACCAGAAGACTTGTGGTTCTTTCAGATGAAACTTTTCAGACCTAAGTTGTGCTGCCATGTTGTTTTAGATGACCTTTGACCTTTGACCCTTGAAACTGTTGAGCAGCTGCTTCTCCGAGGTTATTGCTGATGTCTTTCCACCCCGGTGTCGTGTTAAAACACCTGTTCTTTCAGTCCAGACGAGTTCTGTGAGTTCTGAAGGCAGAGTGGCCCCTCGGACCAGGAGCTCGTCTCCAGGTGTCCTGTATGAAGTGTGAGACCGTCCTTCAGGGTCGTCTAAGTTCAGTCTTGATGTTGGAGACGTCTCACGGTCCCTCCAGGTCCGAGAGGCTGAAGGTGACCCGGTAAAGTCAGAACATCAGATCAGAACCAAGTGGAGCTGGACTGAAGGTCATCGTGTGTCTGAAGCTGATGGAAACAGCTGATGATGGTGGAGTCGTCAGTGTTAATGAACACACACACACGTGCACACACACGTGCACACACACACACACACCTGTTAGTGTCGTTCTTTTTGCCGTAAATGACAATGGAAAGAAACTCAGCTGTCCTTGGAGGACACCTCTGAGCCTGCAGAGCTGTTGACGTCTCATTTTTTAGGAAGTTCCTGTGTGTGTGTCAAAATGATGTGAAAAAGGAGTTCTCAGCCATAAGGTACCAACCTCCCACTGCTGCCCTTTACACACACACACACACACACACACACACACACACACACACACACACTCGTCCGACCTTGCTGTAGTGTGTGTGTGCACAGCGAGAGCCCTGCAGTGCGTAAAAATGTCCGACACTATTCGTCTTTCAGCGTTTTAATGTCTTTTTAAATATCAACCTTTTCCCCCATCGAGCTCACACGCGCGCACGCGTGCATACACACAGACACACACACACACACTTACATTTCCTCCTGACTTTGGGTTTAAAGGTTTTGAGGAGATAAATCAGCCGCCTCCTGTTGGATCAGACGTTTGTTTAAAACTTTATCGATAATTGTTGCAGAACATTTAGTGAAATGTGAGGTGGTTTGTTTCATTTTGACTCTTCTGCTTTGAACCAGCGTGAACATCTGAACATCTGAACATGTGAACATCTGAACATCTGAACATCTGAACATCTGAACATCTGAACATGTGAACATCTGAACATCTGAACATGTGAACATCTGAACATCTGAACATCTGAACATGTGAACATGTGAACATCTGAACATGTGAACATCTGAACATGTGAACATCTGAACATGTGAACATGTGAACATCTGAACATGTGAACATCTGAACATCTGAACATCTGAACATGTGAACATGTGAACATGTGAACATGTGAACATCTGAACATGTGAACATGTGAACATCTGAACATCTGAACATGTGAACATATGAACATGTGAACATCTAAACATGTGAACATGTGAACTGTGCCGACACGTCAGGAGCAGTTCCTGTCAGAGTTCAGCAGACGGAGCAGCTTCAGATTAAATCAATTCCTGAAGAACGTCCCATATCATGACGCTGCCACCACCGTGCTTTACTGTTAAAGAGGATCAGGTCTTAGTGGTTTTAAGCAAAGGCCCTGATCTCCGTGGAGGGTTTGGTTTAATCCGGTTCCGTGAGTCTCCTCCTGGACTCTGTCTTTTGCTCGGTGAGGCTCGTGACTCTCGCAGGTCGTTGTTGCTGCTCTGCAGGGTCAGGTCTGTCCTCCTGAAGAACCACCTCTGACCCGTCCTGGGGGTCTGGTCGTCCTCACAGGATCTGGTTTTCAGCCGTGAAACTGGCACCGCCTCGTCTTTTTAGTCCTGATCTTTGCAAAGCAACTAAAAACCGGAGTGAGTTGCAGCAGCTGTTTGTCTCCACGCTGCACGTTTTCAGTGCACGTTGCTCTCCAACCCATGAGGTGCGTTCTGTGTGTAAACTGATCCGAAGCCTGCTCAGAGCGGCCGGAGGCTGCAGCCTCTCCGTTCTCTCCTCCGGCTCCGTAAACATCTCGTGTCGCAGCAAATCAAAGCTGATGGCCATGATGCTCCACAAATCTGCTCTCATCGGTGGGAACGCAGTCGGCTGAGACCAACCGCATTAATTCGATCAGCCGACAGAGCTGTCAGTCAGGCTGACAGCATCCTCCCCCCTGCATGACTCCCCCGGGAGGGAGAGGCGTGTGAGCAGCTAAAACAAGTTCAGGCTCTGTTTCTCCTCCTGACAGGGTTTAATAAAAGTTCTGTTAGCTGTGGTGGTGGACCCAAACTAAACGAGACACGGAGAATCCAGATCTGACACGTCTGAGACCTGAACGTCCCCGAGCGGACGTTTGAAACCACCTCCGAAACAGGAAGTAATTAGGAACCTACAACAGCTGAGCACCGCTTTGGGTGGGCGGAGTCATGTCTGTGGAGGAGTTACATGGGACACAGAGAGTTTATATTTGGTTTAGTGCTTTAGACCTTCCTGCTGCCTTCGGTACTGTGGACCAGAACGTCTGTCAGGACTTGAGCAAGCGGTCAGTACCAATGGAAATCTGACCAACAGGAGTTCTTCTGTTCTGCAGCTCCTCAGAACTGTGGCGTCCCTCAAGGCTCTAGTCAAGGTTCACAGTCTTTTAACCTTTGTGGTCCATTTTTTAGAGAACGTAACATCTGTGCATTCACTGTTTCGTTGATAATATCCAGGTTTTTCCTGCCCTTAAGTCAGAACCACTCTTGAGATGTTGCAGTAAAACCTGAACCTAAACTTCCTGAATCTAAATGACAATCAGTCTGAAGTCACGAGTTTTGGTAAAAGACTTGGTCTCTTGGCTTCATGTGGTCTCTCTGCTGTCAGGAGTCTGGGTCTTATTTCTGCTTCAGATCAGACAAACACATAAATCCAGTTTTAAGTCTCCTTTCCAAAGACCTGGAACTGGTTCAGGCTTTTAGCCTCTTGGACTGTTGGCTTGGATGAATCGTTTTAAAATCTCTTACAAGCCGTCCAGAGCACAACAACTGATCCACGGTCCTGGTTTCCTGTCCGGTCTGGATTGATTTTAAGAACTTGCTGCGTGTTTTTTATTGATTTTATTCATTTATGGCCCCGTCATGCTTCTATAATCTCCTTAACAACAAGTCTGCAGAAATATTTAGATGTCAATAAACAGGCAAAAATAAATTA